ATCTATTATCTATACTAATCTAATAACAACCAAAAGAAATTTAGGCCTATAACATGAACAAAAAAATGTTAGTCCAATTATTTTTTTAAATTAATAGTTCATATTAATTTAACTAGTTACTATATGCGCGTGAATAAGCTGATGCACAATGTGTATGTTTAAATTAGTGGTTCATAATTTATAAGTATCATCGATATCCTGGCATATATTAATGCAAGATTATCAAATTTTTCATAAAAGTAAATATTTCAAGAATATATAACTATGACCTATGACAAAAATGTTGAATTTACTAGTATAATATAATAGCAATTTTAGAGGGAAGCACATTCACTGGATAGTACCCTAAGCATAGTTTCTGCAACAAAAACTCTATTAATTGGCGTGATCCATGTTTCGTCTTGTTGCCACTTCCGCCATAAATGAATTCTTGAATTGATCTATCCTCTTGTGTGCTTCACTGCAATTTTAGTGCTTTCGTGCAGTGCATATTCAAAAACAGAACTAAATCCTCCTTCCCCCAAAAAGACATTAATAGACATAGTTTCTCATCTGTGTTGAATATAGGCATAGTTTCTCATCTGTGTTGAATATATACTGTTAATGCCCAATGCGTGATTCTAATTAATTGACCAAAGTTCATGTTAAATTTTATATTGTATTTTTTAATACACCCTAACATATGCATGGTATATGTTTAACAATTATGTCAATTTTGAATGTGATGGGAGTCCGAAACTAAGACATATATACCTTATGAAAATCAATGAGTAAGTTAAGAATAATAAATACTTAACAGGATATTTCATTACTAAAGTTTACACTAACGAAATACAATGGTATTTAGGAAAAGTAAACGATATAATAGAAGGTTGATGATTTTGTCGGGATCGGGAGGCTGCAACTAATTATGCTATTGATAAGAATTGAACTTAGGTAAATGGGTTGAGAGCATGAATCAAACTCAGATGGATGGGTTGAGAGCATAATATAAACCAGAGACCACTAGACCAAGGTGTCTGTACTACTCAAATAGTGATGTCCTGGTGAGAGGCAAAAATTTGTGTACAATATTTAAAATACATGGCAAAATTATTTAATCTTTTAAATTTTGAATATATCTTTTTTAATTTATTAAAACATTAAATTTTGATTATCAAATTTAAACAATATAAAAAAAAAAACATTGTATAATAATAATAATGTATTTTTATAAATTCAATAATTATATTTTAAAAAATACCTAATTAAAATGTAAATGAAATGAAATTTATTTATTATATTACTCTAACGTAAATATATATTTTATTACCATTAAAAATATAAGAAAATATATGATGGCCGGATACATGTGCATAGTAATTAACTCTAATGAAATAAAATAGTACAAAATATAACGGTAAAAGTATTTTGGTCTAATAATTGTATAGTACAACTCTTTAAGTATAACATATTAAAAAAGTAAAAATGAAAAATAAAAGGTATCAACCTTTATTCACTTTTATTAGATTTTTAGATTACATTAATTTTTTTTTTTTTTTTTTTTGTTTTTTCGTGTTTAGGAACTAAATGTGGCGAAGGAAAAATTAATTCTACCGTTGTTCCCACGTACAAGTTAAATAAACCGTGTGCGTGGGAGCGCCGGAATACCTGTGGGTCCAACGTCGGAGTCTGAGTTGTATTGTCGTTGACTTTGTTGGGTGGGCCTCCAAGTCAACGTTAAGTTTAGACAGCCATTAACTCCTCCTATATATATATATATATATATATATATATATATATATATATATATATATATATATAAACACACAAGTCCAGTTTATGTATACAAGTATTCATATTGCCACGTAGCGTACACAATTTGTATGCATGGCGATCTCACCGGTAGTCGTGCTGGCCGTTAGGAGTCTAACGTTCGTTTGCCTGTTGGTGTCGCTCATCCTAATCACTACCAACACCATTACTTTACCTTCTTCCGATTACGATTGGGGTTGGGGTTCAAATATCAAGTTTAATGATATCTATGCTTTTCGGTAACCTTATATAACTTTTACTATAATTACGTATTAATTAACAACATGCATATTATATGTATAAGCAAATTAAAGCAATGTAACCATGATTACTCACAACATATATGGACGATATATGATGATTGGTTTTATTATCTGCAGCTACCTAGTTGCCACACTGATTCTGGGATTAGCGTATACTCTTCTCCAAACTGTTTTTGCCGTTATCCAAGCCTGCACCGGAAAACGCGTCGGGGGGGAGCGTTTCTGCGTGTTCGACTTTTTTGGTGACAAGGTTGTTTCGTACCTTCTTGTGACCGGAGCGGCCGCTAGTTTTGCCATGACTCGAGAACTCAAGGACGCCAACACGGATGACGGCATGGATAAATTTGCCAACAAGGCAAGCGTGGCGGCTAGACTTTGTTTAGTTGGTTTCTTGTTTGCTGCCACCTCGTCCGTCTTCTCGTCTTATGCTCTTCCTAAGAGAGCCTGATTAATTGACCAGATCAGATTGTTCGATATGATCTCTGCGTGGATTATTCATCGAATTGGCTTATGGTGTCGGATTATTTCTCATCTTCCGATGTTAATTTCTGCTCAAAACTTGCTCTATGTACCATATTTTCGTTGAAATTATTGTTCGTGTGTATTGTTTTTAGTGCATGTATGTCGTTATGTCTAAATTCTTCAACTATCGTAAACTTTATTTCAAAGGCGATCATTATTAGGAAATTCGATCAATTGTTTGGATAATATGAGTTTGACAATCTCCTCTGCGCGGTGGTGGACAAGCATTTCGTGAAGGTCACCGGAATCGCACAAGGCTGGGATGGTGTTGTTCTACATTATTTAGGGTATTGATAAGCATGAATCGAAGGAAATGACATGTTTACCCTTAGTTTAACAGAGAATTAACGGGAGGGCCAAATCAAGTAACGTTTTTGTAGTTAGGGATTAATTTAAGTAAAAATTTTAACAAATGACTTTATTTTATGAGTAAATCGTAATAGTTGAGGCCGGGACCACACATCTAGTTTAATTAGTGTAACAAGGGTTGGGCGTCGACCGGGTAGGCCGAGTTCAATTCCTCCTTAATTCGAGACGTGGCGTTGGATGTGGTTAAATGGTTAATTAATGTTCACCTACTTATTACCAATTGGTTTTAAGTAGGATATATATGATAACCGAATAGTCAAAGAACTATGTGGTTAAGCGTGACTTACAACAATCACGGGATGAGTGACCCCGTGAAAACATAGTGCAGACCCAACAATAGGTGCATAATATATTAATTGCATTATATAATTTGTATGGATTTGAGTGCAGCTTTCCTTCGGCAAGGGCGGAGCTACTCCTTGAGGTAGCCCCCCACCCCACCCCATTTTTAATAAATATTATATATATTATATTTTACTATTGTATATATTTTGTGTTATGTGAAAAATTCAAAAGTAATATTTGATAACATTAACGATCTTACTCATATAATTATATATTTCATTATATGGTTGATACTAATATCGACTAATATATAAATTTCTTCTGTAAATTCGGCCCTCCTAATTCAGATTTTCTGGCTTCATCCCTGTCCCTTGGAAGAGAAAAAATGAGGAAATTATTGGTCGTCGAAGATGAATAAGAAATTAGGGGAGGGAGTAATATATTAACTTTATGTATATAATTTGTATGTATTTGAGACTGTGTCCATAACGCAAGATAGAATATAGTCCATGATAATAACAACTGCAGCTTTCCTTTGGAAGAGGAAAAAAAAAAAAAAAAAAAAAAACCGAGGGAGATTGATCGTCGAAAATGAAAAGAAATTAGCCAGGGGGAGGGAGTATGCCGACCAGAACTCTGTCGCTTGCTTGGTCCTGCGCTGTATTTTTTTAAATCTTTTATTATTGTTTTTTATTAATTTTATTGTTGTTGATTTTACAATTAGTGGGTAGTTGACGGTTGACCAACACAATCATTAATAAAACAAAGTAAATGAGCGAAAGATTAGGTAAGAGAACATAAAGAGACTTAGAATAAGAATTGTGAGTATAAATTGTTTTAAGCTCTTCATAATTTGGATCCGTTTTACATCCAGTGAGAAGTTATTTAAACATGATAACTACTTGAACAAAAAGGAAGATGAATTTCTAAAATAAAGCTAGCCTACCAAACTCAGGCTAAATAGCGAATCACCTTGTGATCTAGGGACATAAATTGACTCTCTCAAAAGGGAGGACATAATTTAAGTCTCAATAAGAGTATTATTGACTCTTTGTACTTTAATAGGTCAAAAAATGAATACTTCATTTGTAATAGAGTTAGTACTACTAAAAACTTTTATAGTAAGAGGTGATCAACCGTCGCCACTCACCGATTAGATAGAAAATTTTCATTGGATGAAAATGCATGCTCTTACCATACCCCTATGTTGGAAAAATTAGCTTAAAATGACATAAAATGACATATTAAGTGGCTATTTTGTGGTACAATTATCAGTGGGGTTCACTTCCGATTTGGGTCGGGTCAAAGTGGATTCGGATTCTTCGTAGTAAGACGAAGAGATTGATATATTGTACGCTCAAAACAGATAATGGGTGAATGAGATATTGATTCTCAAAATAGACCCATTTAAGTTGGGAAATGAAGGGAAAATGTAGGACTTTTGTCCCACATTGGTTTGGAAACAAGATTTGCCCCCCTTATATACATGAGCTCTTTTCAAGCTTGTAGAATTGTATAACATAGAAGTTCTCTTGCGGGTGGGGTGCAAATCCAAATCCAACTAGAGGAGATCGAAAAGCCTTGATTTAAGCCTGAGCTCACCTGCGGACACTTCTGCTTCTACTCTCTTCTTTATTCCTTGTTTAGGTGCTTAAACAAGGAATCGTTTTAAGGAAAAGAACTTTGTGTTCGAACTCGTGCTAAACCTATACCCAAACACTCAACTTTTTCCTTTCCAATTCTTTATGTTCTCCCATATAATATTAATCTTTTCGTAGGATTATTATTTTTTGGGATTTTACAACCATATTACCCAACACCCTATTCCCACGCACAAGTTAAACAAACCTGATTATCATACATGCAAGTCAAGTAAACCCTTGGATGTAAGGACAGGATTCAATTCGGGTCAATGGATAAGTAAACTCATGGCCTTGCTTGCTTTCCGTGTGCGTGGGAGTGCCGGAAAACCCGTGGGTCTTACGCCGGAGTCGAGTCGTTGTCTTGGTTCCTTGGGTGGGCCTCTAAGTCAACGTTTAGACAGCCGTTAACGCCTCCTATAAAAACATTGTACACAACCCGAGTTTATGTATACAACTATATATCAAATAGTGCTACATACACAATTACAACGTTATGGCCATGTCACCGGTGGTCGTGCTGGTCGTTAGGATTCTAACGTTCGTTTGCCTGTTGGCATCGCTCATCTTAATCACTACCGACTCTGTTACTCTACCTCCTAATGGTAACAAGATCAAGTTTAATAAGATCTATCCCTACCGGTAAGCTAGCTAGCTAATTAAATCCTTTCTCTCTTAATAATATAATTACGTATTAACACCATCCATGCATGCATGCATGTATATAATTAATTACTCACAATATATATATATATCTGCAGGTACCTAGTCGCCACACTGATTCTGGGATTAGCATATACTCTTCTCCAAACTGCATTTGCCATCTCCCAAGCCTGCACTGGGAAACGCGTTGGGGGAGAGCGTTCCTGCGTGTTTGACTTTTTTGCCGACAATGTGATTAATATTACATCCATCTGTCTCATTTTATTTATCTTACTTATTGGCCTTCTTTTATCAGTTTAAATTTTTAGTTAAAATAAATTAATGTGAACGAGGATGTTTGATTTGTTGCAGGTTGTTTCTTACCTTGTTGCGAGCGGAGCGGCGGCCTGCTTTGGCGTGACTCAAGAACTGAAGAAACGGAACACGGTTGAGAAATTGTATGCAGATTTGGGAAGCAAATTGCATATGAGCGACACGGATAAATTAAATGTCCAACAGATTTTGGACGACATGGATAAATTTATCAACAGGGGAAACGTGGCGGCTAGAGTTTGCTTAATAGGTTTCGTGTTTGCTGCCACCTCGTCCGTCTTCTCATCTTATGCTCTTCCTAAGAGAGCCTGATTGATTGTTATATATATTAATTCAGTAGATTATTCATCGAATTGGCCTATATATATATATATATATATATATATATATATACTAGTTTTTTACGCGCATTGCGCGATTAGGATAATGTCCAATGTTTTTTTTTTTTTAAATAAGTACTTTAAAGTATATCAAGGCAAGATTATATTGGAATTGTTCATGCATAGATAATTGAATGTTAACTTTGCGTATTTAAATAGGTAATTCTAAGTTTACAAATGCATACGGTGAACTAACAAAAATTAACGGATAAGATAATATTTAACGGAAAAGTTAACGGATAATCATATTCATTAAGGATAAATTAGGAAATTTTAAAGACAAATTAAAATCTGATCAATCTGAGCCATTCATTTGATTAAAAAATTTGACCACCATTTTTTCTATCCATTATAGGCCTAACTCTCTTGAGCTCTTATTAGTATAGTAGATATATATGGTACGTGTCGGATTATTTCACGTTTTCTCATGAAATATCTTTTGAAATAATGTTATAACTTTTTATTATGGGTACCCATCAAGCTAAGGAGTTGTTATACTATGGACCAAAGTCGATATTGCAATATGAATCCTGGTCCTAACAACGTTACAACGTATACATTGTGTATGTTTAACATTGAGATTATGAACTTATAAAATATAACTTGTAACAACTGTGAATACAATACAAGATCATCAAATCTTAATGATTGCAGTATTTGAAATGAACTTGTGATTACAAAATAAGGTAATCAACATTGTATGCCCGTCGTATATAACTTGTAATTTTTAAAAGGTGAATTGTGAATATTTAGATCCGAATCCACCAAATAATAACATTTGGGCTTAAATTGTCATAATAAGCCCTTTTGAATGGATTTGACAAAAGAAATTAGGAGGCCTATGGATCTGTTTGGGAGCCAGCTTTCCGTTTGAAGAGAGAAACCGAGGGAGATTGGTCGTCGGAGATGAATAAGAGATTCGGCGGAGGGAGTAAGCCGACGGGAACTCCGTCGCTCGCTTGGTCCTGCGTTGTAGTTGTTGCTTCGTTACTCACCGGCGCCTCCGTTGTCCACAACTTCTTCAAACCTGATTTGGTACTCCCTTTCCCACTAACTCCTCTCTTTCTCCTGGATGATGAACTAATGCTCTTTTTGGTGAAATCGTATCAGTTTCCGTACTCGTAATGAATGTTTAATTCTGAGAATTTTGTCTGTCTTGTGCGATATGTGATTTTAATACCTCATTTTCGCATCTCACTAGCTATCTGTCCACTCCTCCTAGCTGTATGATAAAATGCGTCTTAGAGAATCTGATAAAATAACCAGCGTTATTCCATACTCAGTAGTTACATGCATAGCTTTAATCCTTGATGCATTATAACTTTCTGTTCTTGATATAATACACTGCTTGTTTAAGTAAGTTGCTAGTTAAGCTTGAGGGAAAATGGTATCTCAGAATTGAATAGCCAAATCAGTCTGAGTTGCAGGAATTGTATGCCCTCCAAAATTAGAGTTAACTGCTACTAACACCAATGACTGAAGTTGCCACTTTGGGCAAATATTGAGGAGCGGATCGGATTTGCAACCCGCTAGAATTAGAGGAATGATTGGCTACTCAACTATATTATTGAGCATAAAATGTCTTCTCTATTGAGGAAAAGCTGAGATAGAAAGAATGAAAATGGATTCTGTATAGAACATTTAAGCAGTTAATCATTACTCCAGTCCGGTAGAAGCATTGACAGGGCTAAGCTGGAACACCTAAAGACACATTAATTTCCTCCCATTAGCCTGAGTTTGATAGACATGGAATTTCTAGATGCTTCATGAATGTCTTGAGAGATGCCAAAATAGTAAAAAACAACCAAACAATAGTTATCCTCCCATAGCTTTTGATATTGCTCTATCCCTACATTCAACATTCTGATATACTTATGTTCAATTGGGGTTCATTGTCTCCGGCTTATGATTCAAGTGTACATTTATCCATCAAGCAGTGAAATTTTGATGCAAGAACAATATGAATGCTGTAGTCTGTTTCAATCTTGTAGCAGCAACCACATGTTCTTTAAAAACCTTTCCAGCAATAGTTTTTTTTTTTTCTTTTTTTTTTTTGGTCTTTCTTTCATTTTAACCAGATTCTGCACGCAAATAAGGAAGGGTCAAAGTTTGGCCATTGGTTTATACTGCTACTTTTGACACCATACTCAGAAAATTCATATTAGTCATTTAGTTGTTCGCAAATCTTTACATTATTATGGAGTTACTGAAACTCACACACTTTTTCTCTTCCCCTTCGTTACTTGTCTGTCACTCTTCTTCTTACTCTTCCTCACATTGCTTTGCTAAAACTCATGGTGATGTTGCATTGCAGACCCTACCACCAGTAGAAAGCATTGATGGGGCTAAGCAAGAACAAGAGAAGAAACAATAATTGCCTTCTCAACCATCCTTTGTTTGTCCCAGTTTGATAGACTTGGAATTGCTGGAAACTCCTGCACAGAAATGAAGTTGAATAGTATCCGCTTATGAAAGCTTCAGGTTGTTAAATATTTGATATTTCAGCAGCAGGTTTATGTACTTGGAAGAACCTGTCCAGTAACACTATAGAGACAATTTTTTATCTGTTTTTTTTTTAATTCATTTTAATTTTTATGCTTATCAATTTAATGTGATCTTTAAGACTGCAATTAATTTGATTTTTTAGTTTTCCATTCTCCGTTTTCTATTTTCAAATTAGGAAAATATATATATGTAAACATTTTTTTTTTTTTTTGTTTCTCTAGTTATACACTTGTACATTTATCTAAATTCATAAGCCACCTTCATCTCAGTTATGGCGGGCTTTAAGGTGGTAAAATATGGAAATGATGGTCGACCACAGTGGGAGTCGAACCCACGACCTTTTGATCCGAAGTCAAACGCGCTAATCCACTGCGCTATGCGGTCTTGTTGAATCCATAATCTACAGAATTTTAGAAATACATATATACAAAAGAAACCAAAATTTCCCCCCATGCTGTTTCGGATATTATTTTAAAGAGTAATGCTAGATTCTCCTTATATTATTTCCTCCCAATTCATTTTTCGTGACATGACATTATCTAATTGGTAACTAAATTTTATTTTTAATTAGTGGTTGAGAAAATTGTACTTTCCGTTCCTAAGTTATAAGATAATTGTAGAATTCATCGCTAAGTGTTGGTCATACTTACTTTTCGTCCCTTTACTGATAAAATATTATGGATGAAATTTGCAATTTTAGTATAATTCATGGAAAAAAATGTGAGCACGAAAGGACGAAAAGTGCAACACCAAAGATAACTTAAGGATGAAAGGTGAGCATGACCAACACTCAGTGACCAATTCTACAATTACTTTATAAATTATGGACGAAAAGTGCAATTTTTCCTTAGTGGTGAGTTACCAATTCATGGGCAACCAATTAATAGAAGCTACATTAGGAACATAAAATAATGGAGGGAAAATTTATGAGGGGAATAAAACATTTTCCTATTTTAGAGTGTGTTTAGAAACGCGGAAAATGATTTTTGAAATTTATTTTTCGAGTTTTCAGTATTTTGATGCACATGGAAAATCTAGTCAATGAAAAACTTTTTATGTTGACCGAAGAAAATAAGATCATTTTGACGAAAAATGACTTCCGCCAAACACACAACAAAATTTCCGGCGAAAATTAGTGATTTTTTTTTTTAAAAAAAATTGTTAATAAATAAAATTATATTTAATATTATTTTACATATTTTTATATTATAAATAAAATAATTATACTGTTTAATTATACAATTATACTCATTTTCAATAAAATGGACCAAACACACCAAGACAGCTTTACAGAATGAAACCAAACATTAAAAAGGAAAATATTTTCTGAAAAATAACTCATTTTTCAAAAATCATTTTTGCAGAAGTCATTTTCTTAATTTCTAAATGGAACTTTAAATTCTCATCTACATGGTCTTTAACAATATATGAGTTTACTATCTTTGGTTCATGTATAGCAAAAGTTGATTCATTATCATTGTCAATTTGTCACCAATGGCAACTGCCGTTTTGACTTTGTTGAATTGATGCTAATTATACTAAATAAAATATTTATTATTATTATTTTAAAAAAAAAAAAACATCCTTCGTCTTCGTCTTCTGTCGAAAATGAAGGGACAACTTCATCTTGGGCTGTCTCTCTGGCAACTTTGTCTTGGGCCGTCTCTCTGGTTATGGAGACGCCCTGAGACGTTGCATGTCACTTCGTTCCTGGTAAAAACGAATAATTTTTTTAATTAATAATTTTATTTAAAATTATTAAAAATGCAAATAAAAATTCAGGCATCGCCATGTTAGCATTTTTCAAGTAAACAGGTCACTTCAGATTGAATTGCATGAGTTTGTGTTATTCAAGAATTCAATTATATTTTTTTTTGAATTCGATTGTCAAATTTTGATGTACAGTTTAGTAGCCTATTTGAACATAAAATAATAATAATAAAAATAAAAATAAAAATAATAATAATAACAATAACAATAATAAAAAATTAATAATAATAATAATAATAAAGTAAAAATACGACTGAAAATGAGCATTCTCCTAATATAATAATATATAATATAATAATAATAATAATAAGAATAATAACCAATAGCAATAACAATATTTAATACTCCGTATTTAATAGTAATAATAGTAATAGGCAATTCCCTAATTTCAAACCCAGATTTCCATCGACGCAACCAAAAGGCCAAATCCCTAATTCCAATCCTACATTCCATCGACGCAAAATCGAACGGAGACGACGAACACCACTGACCGCTCCGGCGTCTGCTCATGCTGCCTTGCTCCGCCGTTGGCGATTCCGCGTCTCACCTGCTCCAAATGACCACGGAGTGACAGTGTGACGACCAAGTCTCCAATCGACTCCGCGCCTCGCCACAGCTCCGGTATCCTCTCCTGTCCACGAAGGTACTCGCGCCCACCCCTAGCTACGTTCAATTCCTCTCTCGTTTCTAGGGTTTCTTCACCCGTAATATCAAATCTTAAGATTCAATTTTATCTAGGTTTTTGTATTCATAATCTGCGATTCACTTAAAGTTCAGATTCTTCCATTTTATTCGTTTTGATTCTTTGATTGGTTTGATGGGTGAGGGGATTTGTATGGCACAGATTCTGCAAGTCCTAATTCTGATGTGCATATAGATTTATTAACTAACTATTAAGCTTATCTGTTTTCAAAAAAAAAAAAAAAGTTCAGATTCTTCCATTTTATTCATTTGGATTCTTTGATTGGTGAGGGGATTTGTATGGTACAGATTCTGCAAGTCCTCCTAATTCTGATGTGCATATTGATTTATTAACTAACTATTAATCTTATCTGTTTTCAAAAAAAAAAAAAAAAAACTATTAAGCTTATTTGTTGCTGCTAATTGCGCGCGCAGGGAAATCTCAAACCACTCTGATTTTCTCAATCATGGGGAAGAACGAGTTCTTGACCCCAAAAGCAATCGCTAACAGAATCAAAGCGAAGGGTCTGCAGAAGCTGCGATGGTACTGCCAGATGTGCCAGAAGCAATGCAGGGACGAGAATGGATTCAAGTGCCATTGTATGAGCGAGTCCCACCAGCGCCAAATGGAGGTGTTCGGCCAGAACCCTGAACGGATCGTGAGTGGCTACTCGGAGGAGTTTGAGGATTCATTCCTCGAACACATGAAGCGCAGCCACCGCTTCAGCCGTGTGGCTGCCACGGTTGTGTACAACGAGTACATTGCTGATCGACATCACGTGCATATGAATTCTACGCATTGGGCGACTCTGACGGACTTTGTGAAGCATTTGGGGAGGGCTGGCAAGTGTAAAGTTGAGGAGACCCCCAAGGGGTGGTTTATCACGTATATAGATAGAGATTCGGAGACCCTTTTCAAGGAGAAGATGAAGAACAAGAGAATGAGGGCTGACATCGCGGAGGAAGAGAAGCAAGAGAGGGAGATTAAGAAGCAGAGAGAGCGGGCAGAACAGTTGATGGGTGCAGCAGACGAGAACGGTTCTCAGCAGAAATTAGAACCAGAGCTCAAGCCTTTGCAAAAATCAGAGAGTGACCAGAAAATCAAGCTGTCTTTGGCCTCGTCAAAATCCAACGTTAAAGAGAGATCTGAAAGTTCAAAGTCTGTATTTGATGTGATGGATAACCGTAAAGAAGGTAGGAAAGATACTGAAAAGACTGGTAAGGGTGGTAGTGGGGTAAGCGGGGGTGGCAGCTCAACTTTGGATGAGCTGATGAGAGAGCAAGAACGGGCAAAGGAAAGGCAAAATAGAAAGGATTATTGGTTATGCGAGGGAATAATAGTGAAGGTAATGAGCAAGGCCTTAGCTAACAAGGGATACTATAAGCAAAAGGGTGTAGTTAGGAAGTTGATTGATAAGTATGTTGGGGAAATTGAAATCCTCGAAAACAAGCATGTCCTCAGAGTTGATCAGGAAGAGCTCGAAACTGTAATTCCCCAAATTGGTGGTCTTGTGAGGATAGTTAACGGGGCTTATCGTGGATCAAATGCAAGGTTGTTATCCATTGATACAAATAACTTCACTGCCAAGGTGCAAATTGAGAAAGGTATATACGACGGGAAGGTGCTCAAGGCTATTGAATATGAAGATATATGCAAATTGCACCAATGACAGGTTCAAATTTGTTAATTTGTTTTTCTATGTAGTGCTCAGTTTATTTAACCATATTTTCTGGTAATGAAAAGAAACATCTGCCATGGTTATATACTTGTATTGTATGCTTGCATTTGACAGATATGAATCCAGTGAGCTCTTTATTTGCTTCTTTTTGAAAATTGGATTTAATCAAGCATGATTTGCATGGAACTATTTTCTATAAATCACATGAAATCTTAAGGGTTACATTACATATCCAAAAAAAAAAAAATCTAAAGTTATGTCTTATGAGTTATGAGTAATCAGACATTTTCTTTCTTTTTGCCTTGCTGTAAAGCCAACTAAAGTTTTAGGTTGCCTACTTGTCTGCTTGGTAAGCTTGCTTCAAAAGCAAAAGCAAGTGCAAGAAAAATAATATAGATTGAGGTGCAGCCCATATATATGATTTATAATTTAGAATAATTTCATTCCAAAATGAAAACTTTGATGACAGAAATGTTTGAGTAGATGACAACTATTGGATGAAGGAAAGGTATAACATCTGAGTTGGAGAATATTTGCTTGCTAGGCTGTGGAAAGCTGTTCTACCCACAATTCACCTCAAAAGCCATTTTTCTTTAGGACACAACACATATGCAACTTTTTTTTTTTTTTTTCTCTAAATAATATTTTGTTGGGTGTCGTTCAGCCCTGATCGATTTGAGACGTAGTACTGTTAACTCTATAGTTAAGCATGTCATGCATAATGCAGTGCTTAGATCAACCATATTTTTCCTTCTTTTTTTTACTAAATTATTAGTAAGTTTTAATGTCATGAATAAAAATTATAAGTTTTTATTGAAAGAAATAGCAACTCTATTAATAAAAGTAGGATAATAATATATGTTGAGTCCATTACTTCTCATGTGTAATTTGCAGACTATTACAAACAAATGAAGTTTATTTATTGCATACCATCAAATAGTGATTGCGAGTTTTTCTATCTTTAAAAAAAAAAAAAAAAAAGCATGACTCTTGGAGCCAAAAACTTGAATTTTAATTTGGAAAATTGTTGATTGTGGCACGGGAGAAAACAACAAAATGCATAAATGCAGAGAGCAGCTACCACAGGATTCACAATCCATCTCCAGGTCCAAATTCTTCAACTCACCAGCCACATAATAAAATTATTATTATTATTATTAAATTACCAAACCACAAAAAAAAAAAAAAAAAAAAACATTTCTTTTGTTTTTTAACATTAAAAAAGCTTCTGCATTCATGTTGTAATAATCAATAATTTTTTATATGTAAAAATTCTTTTTCTTTTGGGTATAATTATTAGGAGAGAATAATGAAAAGCGAAATGGATATTCCTCCTTATAATATGTCACAAGAGTTTTAAATTAAGTTCCAAAAAGAGTAACTGAATTAATAGAACATAATTATTATATTAAATTATCATAATTTTAATTGCCAATAATTTTTACAATTTATCTCTTATGTAATTTGTGTACGTATTTTTATTTTTCTTTTGTCAAAAAACAAAACTCAAAATTAATAAATAAGCAATAATCCTTTTCTTGAAACTTGAAAGGAAAATTAAAATGGAAAAATAGTAAAAATGAGAGAAAAAGGCAAAAAGCCGTAGAGAGGGGGCAGGTAGTGGGGACCACAGATGAAGTCATGAACTTGATGACTAATGATGGCCCCCACGTCCGTAAGATCCAGACTGCCTCTTCAATCCAACGGTCCACGTTTGTTCTCTTTCTTCTATAACCCCTACACAGAAGCTACACAGCTAACACCAGAACTCCAGAAGCAAGAAGAAGAAGAAGAACAGAGCTCCGATTCCTTCGCGGCCTTGTCTGTCTTTCTCTCTCACTATTCCCCCTCCGATTCCGACTTCTAGAGAGGTAGCTTTCGCTTTCAATCCATCTATGATGCATTCTTTGATGGATCTATTTTTAGAAATATTGCGTTCTTGATTTTCTTGCTGCGTAATAATGGCGGCACAACAGTTAAAAGTTACTGACTTTTGAGTTTCTGCTGTGAAAATGATTGGTTGGTTATTCTTACCGCAAAGATTTTAGTTTACCAAATGTTCAGAAATCTCTTATCTGTTTCTTACAATTAGCACTGAAATTTTCTTGTGGCATGATAGTTTGGTTATACCTGAAATATTGAATTGATTTATTCATTTCTCGTTATGTATGTTCTTGGATAATCTTGTTACTTTGAAGCTGGCAAAGGACATAATAGACCTAAATCAAGAAGGCCAATAGAGTTTAACTTGAAACCTTGTGGTTATAAGCCAATAATCCGACCAATTTGGCTGGGGTTGCCCTTAAAATCTTGTTAATTGTTTATCATAGTCTAGTGTATCTATGGACTTTTTGACAAAGTTGACAAAGAATGTTGCACCGAGTTTTTTGTAGTTTGAGGTTTATGTTTGGTGGTAGAGAACCGAGATGTTGGGATTATATGACTGTTGTTTCTTTTACCGAAGCTACGATTTTCCTGCAGGAAGTAGCATAAGATGGCCGAGGCAGATGATATTCAACCACTTGTCTGTGACAATGGGACAGGAATGGTCAAGGTACTGGTCTAATGTTTGCGTTTTTTGTCAATTAAGTTGATGAGCTGCTATGTCGTTTAATGATTTTGTGAAATCCTAAAGATTGGTATGTTGGTTCGATTTTTAGGCTGGGTTTGCTGGAGATGATGCTCCAAGGGCTGTGTTCCCTAGCATTGTTGGTCGTCCTCGACATACGGGTGTGATGGTGGGTATGGGTCAAAAGGATGCGTATGTGGGAGATGAAGCTCAGTCGAAGCGGGGAATTTTAACCCTGAAATACCCAATTGAACACGGGATTGTTAACAACTGGGATGATATGGAGAAGATATGGCATCACACGTTTTATAATGAGCTTCGTGTGGCCCCCGAGGAGCACCCGGTGCTCTTGACCGAAGCACCTCTTAACCCTAAGGCTAATCGCGAAAAGATGACCCAAATTATGTTCGAGACGTTCAACGCCCCGGCTATGTATGTTGCCATTCAAGCTGTTCTTTCCCTGTATGCTAGTGGCCGTACTACTGGTAAGAATGTTTCGAATTCGTAAACATATTGTTATCTTAAAATTTGTAAACTCGACATTTGTACTTGTCGTTTGTTTTCAGGTATTGTTTTGGATTCGGGTGATGGTGTGAGTCACACTGTCCCGATCTACGAGGGTTACGCCCTTCCCCATGCCATCCTTCGTCTTGATTTGGCTGGCCGGGATTTGACCGATCATTTGATGAAAATCCTCACGGAGCGTGGCTACTCTTTCACCACCACAGCCGAGCGGGAAATTGTGAGAGACGTGAAAGAAAAGCTTGCTTACATAGCGCTCGACTATGAGCAAGAGCTCGAGACTTCAAGGACTAGCTCGACTGTAGAGAAAAGCTACGAGCTCCCCGATGGGCAAGTGATCACCATAGGTGCCGAGCGTTTCCGATGCCCCGAGGTGCTTTTCCAGCCTTCGATGATTGGGATGGAAGCAGCGGGAATCCACGAGACCACGTACAACTCTATCATGAAATGTGATGTCGATATTAGGAAGGACCTGTATGGGAACATAGTGCTTAGCGGTGGTTCCACCATGTTCCCGGGTATCGCTGATAGAATGAGCAAGGAGATTACGGCGTTGGCCCCGAGTAGCATGAAGATCAAGGTGGTGGCACCGCCCGAGAGGAAATATAGCGTCTGGATTGGCGGCTCCATCTTGGCTTCCCTTAGCACATTCCAGCAGGTTCAACTTCTACACACCCCTCAAATTTGAAACATAATGTTCAATATGCTAATTGAATTTTTTTTTTTTTTTTTTTCGGGTGTAGATGTGGATTGCTAAGGCAGAGTACGATGAGTCTGGCCCATCAATTGTTCACAGGAAGTGCTTCTAATTCTCGAAGAAAAATGGTTTTTGATGATGGAATGGGCTTCTTCTATCGAGTCAGGTTGCAGATTACCGCCTTATATTCTCTTCTACCGTTGATTTTCTGTATTTGTTGTTCACATGTTGGATGTATGAAACCTTGAGAAAGGAAAGGAGTTGATTTGGATTTCATTGTTCCAATTCTTTTATTTTTACCAACTTATAAGTTTCAACTCTCATATGATCTTCCATTATGTATCATGCTTCCTTGCTTGATGATCCATACCCTTAGTTGGACTGTTGGTTTGGTAACTACAAGGTTCCAAGTTTGATTTTCTTGGGAGTGGCCTATTGGCCTTTTTGGTTTGAGTCGGTCAGCTATGAGCAATCTAGGCTGGTTTACGTCTTTTGTCAGCTAGGGTCACAATGCGGGGTTTATTTAGTGCAGACTCTCGGGTAGTGGTTAGGTTTCCCTCGTCACCCCAAAAAAAATGGTAAAAAGTTTTTGCAAACAAAGCCTATTTACCTTCAGCAACTTGTAAATTTACAAGAGTGCATAGTTTTACAAACATCTGTATTCACCATAATGCAAAATTTGAAATTCATCCAAGATTTAAGTTGTGGAGGAAAGCAGGGAGAGTCTACTGTGACTCCCTTTCTCAAAGAATGGATGATGATCTCTTGCACTAGTTAAACCCCATCCATTTTGGTCATTTTCATCTGCTGTCTTGTGGTATTCACCATGGCTCCGACTTTGCTTGTTCAAGAACATGGTTTTGTTCTCCATGTCCCCTTCCTCTGAAACCGAGTTTTTGCAGAAATGAGAATTGCACCTCAGATACCTCTCAGAAGTGGCATCTTTCGTGCTTTCTTCCTCAGAAATCAAGTTTTTGCAGAAATGAGAGTTGCACCTCAGATACCTCTGAGAAGTGGCATCTTTCATGGTTTCTTCCTCAGAAACCGAGTTTTTGCAGAAGCTACCAAAGCCATTGATCCCGTTTGTGACTTTGCGCTCTCTGGTTCTCTCTTCCTTGAGATATGATCTGTCTTCCAGCAGCCTGATTACTCTCTCAGATTTCTTCTGAACACTTGATCCCCAATTAAACCTGCAGATAATCAGGAAAAAAAGGGTATTTAGCAGAAGAAAAAGAAACAGCAAAATATTGAAATTTTTTTATTAAATTGACAAACCCTTTTTCATCAACATATTGAAAGCTGATCATCTCTGTAATAACTTGTTCATCACTCTGGAACTCATCTGCAACACTTTCTGGTCCATGGGTGAGAAGATATTCCAACAATGTCAGAGCCTTATAGGACTCTCTCCAATTCCTTTTGCTAAACTTCATCAGCCTGCATCCAAAAACATAACCATTAAAATCTTCAAAATTTTCCATCCATTTTTGCAAGAAAGAGGAGAGAATTGAAACAAAAACCTCTTGATGAGCATGCAGAAGAATAACAGTCGTTCTAAACTCTAAAGAATATGAACTAATAAGATTAATAGCAAAGACTAGTTCTAAACATCTTAAAGAACAACACCTTTTGTGCAGAATATCAACAATCCTCCAATAATCATCCACTTCAAAGGCTGCCCGCGCAATCAGTCTCATCGCCTGCACATTTGCTGCACCCAAATCCCCATTCGTCGCCTCTTCTGTCAATCTTTTCCTCACCATCACAAGATCAAAACAACATCAGATGTTTTCCATATCAAACCCGAAAGGACAAGCAAAAGTTGGCTCTAATGAAGAACTTACATCTCTGTAGGGGTAACATCTGTTAAGGCCAATCTTGCAGTCTTGATCTTTTCCCTGAGGAAAAATGAAGCTTGTCTTTTGAATTCATGCAAGAGAGGAGCATCCATGGTTGTCTGTTTTCTTTTTCTTTTGCCTACATTATATATACCTGCCAACAGATTAACTGAAAATGGGAGTTCAAAAGGTTGACTCTACTGGCGTAAGATGGAACTACAACTACTCCATTAACAACATTAAAGAAACATCTCAACTACTTTGTAAAGTGGATTTGCGTATGTAACAAGGAGAAGATAAGGCAGCAATTTGGATTAGGAACCTTTCAACTATTGACAAAAAAGGTTCAAATGACAAAAGCCGACAGAAATATTTTACCAACAGGTAACACGAGATTTGAATATTGAATTCTATCGAGCTGCTTTGTCTTTTGGTAAATGTTGTTATTCGAAAGGTTTAATTTACACGGCATATTAATTTCAATCTTTGTTTTATAATTGGGGACTGACCATATAATGTTTGCATTATATTGTTGATCAATTGCCTGCATTGTTTGCTTCTAGAAACGTTAGGCTACAAGGGACCAAATGTAGCAATCATCAATTCCATGGAGTCAAATGTATGTAAATTACTATTTGCCAAACAAATTTCAGTTTAAGGGCACCATTCAACCAAGAGTTATCATCATCACCATTATTAAATAAAATTTGAAAACTATGTTTTAACATTCACCCCTATTTAAGAAGCATATCAATCTTCTTTAATAAATGTAACCACAAGTGGGTCAACTATACACAAGTAGACAACCTAGATTGGTTTATCTCCTTGTGATCCATTGCCAGTTAGGGTCACAAAGCAAGTTTCACCCAATGCAAACATTCGGATGCGAACTTTCTTAAAAATCAAAATGTCCCACCATTTTAACTAATGAAAGTTGCACTAGATTTACCTTGTGTAAGGTTAAAACAATTAGTTATAATTGCACTGATGTTTTATGTTTTTGACATTCAAATTACAAACTTGTAAAATATTTCGCTATAACCATTCCAAAGACTCAAGGCTTTGGTTTTTCTTTTGACCCAATGAACCAATTACATAAAGTGAAACTGTTGAGTGATGCTCGTACGGGAACCAACTCAGTTACCAGAATAGAATCTATCTTGCCAGTCAGTTGGCTGCTGCAATGTCATTCCAAGACTACAAAACTCTAAAAACGAACCTGGTGGAGAGGCGACAAAAAAGCTCAAAGGTAAATTTCCCAAATGCCACTTCTATAACCAAGTGACATGATTGCCAACTCCCATAACATATTGGGGATGCTCAAAAGGTTAACCTTTGAGCCGGGGATTTCAGTCCAATTTACGGATATCTCAATGACAGGAATGTGGAACCATTTGCATAGATAAACTAGTTCAACATCAAAGCACCACCTAGGGAAAGGTTGTTTGATAAGTTACTCTTTACAAAAATAAAAATAAAAAATCAAATTATAAGAGATGAAAAGCAGGGGGGAGAAAGGTGAAGGGGAAGAGGAAGAGAAAATTTGAGGGAAGAAAAAGCAACCCCATTGAAAGAAAATGTCAATATCACAAACTTTTTAAAGAAAATACCTTTTCAAGCGCATGGTTAGGAAAAGTTTCCTGGCAGCAGCTCTGGTAAACATCTTGAACCCACACTGAAATTAAGTAGTTTCAACTAAGTGAAGGGAGAAGCCAGAATATACCCACTAGTGTGAGAGGGGTATTAGCGGAAAGGCATAGAACTGTTTGCAGAGTATAAGATACCTGAGTATCACGGATTCCAGGTCCAGCAGCTAAGAGAACTACAATATGGAAACCTTTCATTAAGAAATTCCGGTACCACTTCCTCTGAAACGTAGCACAAAAAATTTCAGTAATTTGAAACCACATACCAAAAATACAAAATAAAACAAAAGAGAAGAAGAGGAAAGTCACGAAAAGATTAATAAACTCAAAATGATTAGTGCAAGAAATTAATAAACTCAACCGTTGCAAGAGCCTTCTCCTCGAGATGTGCCCGAGAACCAAATGCAGCCACTGAGACATCTGAAATTTTTAATGACGAACCGCTAGCAGCAGAATCTCCAAACTGGCGTTCCTTTCTAGCAACTGCAAGAATCTGACTTGCAAACCATTAGGTGATATTTCTAACAAATAGTATACAAAAAGGGTGAACTATCTAAGCTACCAATAAAAAATACGTCACCAACCTGATTTTCTAACTTTTCTAGATCATCTATCTTTGTAGCCCCATCAGCATCAAGCATTAGAAGCAGCGCACCACGTGAGTGAATCATTCCCTGTTTTCACAGTGTTTTCGCAGAAGCAACTGTCTTTAATAAATTGTAAGAGATAAAGACTTTCATTTTCCATATCAGAAGAAACTTTTCTGAATGAGCAAAATAAAAAATGAAAACATGCAAAGATTGGCTCACTTTTCTTATGGCTTCCCCCTTTCCATGATTGCTATCCAATAGAAGGACTCTCACATTTTCAACTGTGTGCCTCTTCACAAATTCAAAAGCTACTCTTTGTGTTCCATCAGCACTTCCATCATCAATTATAATCACCTGTTCATGTATTAATCAATTAAATTTCTAGAAAAACCAAAGCAAGAGCAGATCGCAGACATTGCTACCCCTATCAGCCTATCCTCTCTTCCAAAAAGAAAAGACGAATGTCATGAGAATGAGGTCTTCTTAGGACTTGGGAGTAATTATTTTCTTTCTTTGGCAAGATCTTGAATCCTTTTTCTCTTGTCACTCTCTATTTTAAATTCTCCCTCTCCCAAAGCAAGAGTTAAAAATCTCTTCATCGGGGAGCCTTCAAGTTCAAAGAACACTAAAAATGAAGACCGACTATCCCACACTCCAGAGAGAAGGAAAAAACAGAACCAGATTACATGTTAACTGAACATTTCTTTTGTTTATTGACAATTTCATCAGCCAACTTGAGTCACTGGCAAAAGTCCACAGACACATTTGCTTCAGTCATTTCCATCTCTAAATATGTCCTTTAAGTAATACTTCACCTCTCAACTATATCAATCACAGATTTTATGGAAATAAAAAAAATTTAAAAAAAATTATTAGTACCCATACATCTTATGCTGGAAGAGGTGTTGCCTTATTAGATATCATGGACCAGGAAGAATCAAGGTCCAAAAGCCACCAAACTAACTGAACTCTAGTTGTTTTATGCCATTTTCAGTCCTTAGAGGATTGAGGAAGACTTGGAAAGGATGAAAATATCAGAATGTTACTTGTATCATGACCCTTCCATAGCTAGTTCACATTATGCATTTAAATAAAAGCAAAATAGACCACCTTTTATTTGTATCTATACCTCATATGTAAATGATTTGTCCTTAGCAGCTCGCCGCTGAAGATAACTGAAAATAAAATCCGAAATCATGATGTTTTTAGATATGATTACTGCACCTGTAATGCTTTAACGTTCTTTCAAGACAGTTATTGAACAATATTCAACACCTAAGAAACATATCATTGATTGGAAAGCATATGAAATGCCATTCATAAGACACTGGCTCTCTTTACAGGATTGCAAAAAATTGTTTGTCCTACAAAATTAGTAAGCAGGGTTTACATACTTCAGTGTTTCTTCAAGAGCCACAGGAAGCCTATTCTCTTCATTGTAAGCAGGAATTATCAATGACAAATACTTTTCGGCAGGATCCTTATAGATATGTGGACAGCGGACCTGCAATAAATGCTTATATGATTAATTTTAATTAGAGCACTGTCTATTATAATTTGAATTTTGAACTGAATACAATAAATTTAAGAATATGCTCCACATGCAACTCTACATCCAGGATGCATCAGTCCATCCTCTAACGTTAAGTTCCATAGTTACTGCCATGAAAACTATCACGTTAAGAAACACCTTGACCTCAGGACAGCAAACAACATATATATCCCTATTATTCTTTCCTAACCAACCTATGGTTTCAGCTCAATCGTTATCCTCAGAAAGCACTCCGATTAGGCAGTTTGCAAATTTTTGTTGGCGTTTCTATCCAGATTGACATGGCATAGTTCACCTAACCTATCAGAAAACTCATTCATCCAAATCTCTCAAACAGATAATTAAAAAGGTGTTCCGAGCATTTAAAGCATACTAACCCGTTTCAAAGAATTCGGATCTTCAAACACAGGAAGAGCTTCACAACTGCAAATCGAGAATTCATACGACAGAGAGAAATCTAAACAAAAATTGAATGCAAAATTAGGGTTTATAGAAAGCGCACGACATATGGAATTTTCTTCTGCATGTTTCGAGAAAGATCGCGCTTGGTAATCCAACTGCAACAACTAATGCTAAGATGAGCAGCAGCTCGAAGGGTGTCCCCCAGATTGCATCCATGTTTTTTGGCGTTGAGAATTAAGTGGATCGCCTAACTGAACAAATCATAACCAGGAGGTTTAGCAGTTGGGGACTTGGGGTACCACTCGATAATCAACTCAACAACTCTATGAATTTTATGGGCAAATGAATAAAAAGCCCGTCTAGCTCAGTTGGTAGAGCGCAAGGCTCTTAACTTTGTGGTCGTGGGTTCGAGCCCCACGGTGGGCGTGTTTGCATTTTTAATGGCCGGGCCGGGCCCGTCTTCTATGAGTAGGATCGATAAACTAACATCTAACCGGCCCGTTAGTTTTGTGGGCATGGTCTTGGTCCATATAGTTCCACACAATAATTTGCGGATGTTTTAAGTTGACGTATTTGAACAAGAAAAAGAAGAAGAAAATTGACTAAATTATCTTTTTTGCAAACTAAAAATTTACGTTTATTATAATTTGCACTAAAAAAATATCTGATCATAATTAGTTGTGATGTTCCATCTTTTTGAGGAAAACAACTTATTATTAAATCATTAGCAAGACAGCTAACAAGAAAATCAAGAAGAATATAAAACCATTCCCCGCAACCTGCCACAGAACAGGCCTCCCTAGCAACAACATGGGCGGCACAGTTCGCAGATCGCCTAACACATCGGAATTCAACATCGCCAATTGCCGATGCTAATTCTTTAATATCATCCACTAGAAAGCCATAAGCCAAATTAAATGAACTAGAAAGAAGAGCATTATAAACAAGCTGAGAGTCTATCTCTACTACAACATCACCCATGCCCGTGTTTTTTAACAAGCTTAAAGCCTCTCTCAAACTCATTGCCTCGGCCTCCTTGATGCTATACGTTCCAGGCACCCGCATGTTCTTCGCGGCCAGAAAAGCTCCATCATCCCCACGTAGCACCCAACCATAACCCATTGGGCTGGCTGGCAAATTTATAGTAGCATCCGAATTCAGCTCCATCTTCCCTACTGGCGAAGGCATCCAACTTGCATTATTATGGTGTACAGTTTCGTCCGGCTGATGAGGCCCCTCTTGGGCTTGTCTCCAGCTTTCCCAATAATTCAAGGTCCTACGTAGCACAACATTAGCATAAGAAACAACCCCATTCCAAACACTTCCATTCCTACTTGTCCAAATACCCCAACATGCCATCACATATTTTGCTAGCAAATCACAACTTAACATCTTAACATTATCAAAAAACCACTGCGAGACAGAATTACCATGTTCAATGTTGTTCACTGGAATCCCAAGCTTAGTCCAAAATCCCAGCGCCTCTGTACATGTAGCAAACATATGCCTTGCACTCTCGCCCTCCTGCCTACACATGTGACACATTAGTGAGCAATATACCCGCTTAGAATTTAGAGCATCGCATGTTGGCAAAAAGAAATTTGCTAGCTGCCAACCAAACTGTCGTACTTTAGGTGGCACATCTAAATGTAACCACAAGCCGGTGAACTATACACAAGTAGACAATCTAGGCTAGTTATTCTCCTTGTGGTTCATTGCCAGTTAGGGTCACAAAGCGAGTTTCACCCAAAGCAAACCTTCGGATAGTGTTTGCAGACTTCCTATAAATCAAAATGTCAAACATTTTAATTAATGAAAGTTGCACTAGATTTACCTTGTGTAAGGTTAAAAAATTAGTTATAATTGCACTCATGTTTTATGTTTTTGACATTTAAATTACAAACTTATAAAATATTTCACTATAACCATTACAAAGCAACAGTTATGCCATGGACCCGGGTCCAAAATACACAATTTACATACTGAATGTTCACAACATTCAGTATGTAAATTGTGAACATTTAGTATATAAAATTGTGAACATTTAGTATATAAAATTGGGAACACTTAGTATATAAAATTGTGAATATTCAGTAATATATAAAATTGTGAACATTCAGTATGTAAATTGTGAACATTCAGTAGGTAAATTGTGTATTTTTGGACCTGGGTCCACCTTTGACAGAATAATTTGCCAATACAAAGACTCAAGGCTTTGGTTTTTCTGTTGACCCAATGAACCAATTACATAAAGTCATAAAGTGAAAATGTTGAGTGATGCTCGTACGGGAACCAACTCAGTTAGCAGAATAGAATCTACCTTGCCAGTAAGTTGCTGCTGCAGTGTCATTCCAAGACTACAAAACTCTAAAAACGAACCTGGTGGAGAGGCGACAAAAAAGCTCAACTGTAAATTTTCCAGATGCCACTTCTATAACCCAATGACATGATTGCCAACTCCCATAACATATTGGGGATGCTCAAAAGGTTGACCTTTGAGCCGGGGATTTCAGTCCAATTTACGGATATCTCAATGACAGGAACGCGGAACCATTTGCATAGATAAACTAGTTCAACATCAAAGCACCACCTAGGGAAAGATTGTTTGATAAGTTACTCTTTACAACAAATAAAAAATAAAAAATCAAACTTCAAGAGATGAAAAGCAGGGGGGAGAAAGGTGAAGGGGGAAGAGGAAGAGAAAATTTGGGGAAGAGGAAGAGAAAATTTGAGGGAAGAAAAAGCAACCCCATTGAAAGAAAATGTCAATATCACAAACTTTTTAAAGAAAATACCTTTTCAAGCGGATGTTTAGGAAAAGTTTCCTGGCAGCAGCTCTGGTAAACATCTTGAACCCACACTGAAATTAAGTAGTTTCAACTAAGTGAAGGGAGAAGCCAGAATATACCCACTAGTGTGAGAGGGGTAGGCATAGAACTGTTTGTAGATTATAAGATACCTGAGTATCACGGACTCCAGGTCCAGCAGCTAAGAGAACAACAATATGGAAACCTTTCATTAAGAAATTCCGGTACCACTTCCTCTGAAACATAGCACAAAAAAATTCAGTAATTTGAAACCACATACCAAAACTACAAAATAAAACAAAAGAGAAGAGGAAAGTCACAAAAGATTAATAAACTCAAAATGATTAGTGCAAGAAATTAATAAACTCAACCGTTGCAAGAGCCTTCTCCTCGAGATGTGCCCGAGAACCAAATGCAGCCACTGAGACATCTGAAATTCTTAATGACGAATCACTAGCAGCAGAATCTCCAAACTGGCGTTCCTTTCTAGCAACTGCAAGAATCTGACTTGCAAACCATTAGGTGATATTTCTAACAAATAGTATACAAAAAGGGTGAACTAATCTAGGCTACCAATAAAAAATACAAGGTCACCAACCTGGTTTTCTAACTTTTCTAGATCATCTATCTTTGTAGCCCCATCAGCATCAAGCATTAGAAGCAGCGCACCACGTGAGTGAAGCATTCCCTGTTTTCACAGTGTTTTCGCAGAAGCAACTGTCTTTAATAAATTGTAAGAGATAAAGACTTTCATTTTCCATATCAGAAGAAACTTTTCTGAATGAGCAAAGCAAAAAAGAAAACATGCAAAGATTGGCTCACTTTTCTTATGGCTTCCCCCTTTCCATGATTGCTTCCCAATAGAATGACTCTCACATTTTCAACTGTGTGCCTCTTCACAAATTCAAAAGCTACTCTTTTTGTTCCATCAGCACTTCCATCATCAATTATAATCACCTGTTCATGTATTAATCAATTAAATTTCTAGAAAAACCAAAGCAAGAGCATATCCCAGATATTGCTACCCCTATCAGCTTATCCTCTCTTCCAAAAAGAAAAGGCGAATGTCATGAGAATGAGGTCTTCTTAGGAGTAATTATTTTCTTTCTTTGGCAAGATCTTGAATCCTTTTTCTCTTGTCACTCTCTATTTTAAATTCTCCCTCTCCCAAAGCAAGATTTAAAAATCTCTTCATTTGCCAACCTTCAAGTTCAAAGAACACTAAAAATGAAGACCGACCATCCCACACCCGAGAGAGAAGGAAAAAACAGAACCAAATTACATGTTAACTGAACATTTCTTTTGTCAATCTTTTGTTTATTGACAATTTCATCAGCCAACTTGGGTCACTGGCAAAAGTCCTCAGACACATTTGCTTCAGTCATTTCCATCTGTAAATATGTCCTTTAAGTAATACTTCCCCTCTCAACTATAATCACAGATTTTATGGAAATAAATAAATAAAAATTATTAGTACCCATACATCTTATGCTGGAAGAGGTGTAGCCTTATTAGATATCATGGACCAGGAAGAATCAAGGTCCAAAAGCCACCAAACTAACTGAACTCAAGTTGTTTTATGCCATTTGCTGGAAGACTTGGAAAGGATGAAAATAACTGAATGTTACTTGTATCATGACCCTTCTATAGCTAGTTCACATTATGCATCTAAATGAAAGCAAAATAGACCACATTTTATTTGTAACTATACCTCATATGTAAATGATTTTTCCTTAGCAGCTCGCTGCTGAAGATAACTGAAAATAAAATCCGAAAATCATGGTGTTTTTAGATATGATTAGTGCACCTGCAATGCTTTAACATTCTTTCAAGATAGTTATTGAACAATATTCAACACCTAAGAAACATATCATTGATTGGAAAGCATAAGGCACTGGCTCTCTTTACAGGATTGCAAAAAATTGTTTGTCCTACAAAATTTGTAGGCAGGGTTTACATACTTACTTCAGTGTTTCATCAAGAGCCCCAGGAAGCCTATTCTCTTCATTGTAAGCAGGAACTATCAATGACAAATACTTTTCAGCAGGATCATCAATGATATGTGGACAGCGGACCTGCAATAAATGCTTATATGATTACTTTTAATTAGAGCACTGTCTATTATAATATGAATTTTGAACTGAATACGAGAAATTTAAGAATATGCTCCATATGCAACTCTACATCCAGGATGCATCAGTTCATCCTCCAACCTTAAGTTCCATATTTCATTTCCATAGTTACAACTATCAAGTTAAGAAACACTTTGACCTCAGGACAGCAAACAACATATATATCCCTATTATTCTTTCTTAACCTATATAGCTATGGTTTCAGCTCAATCGGTATCCTCAGAAAGCACTCCGATTAGGCAGTTTGCAAAATGTTTGTTGGCGTTTCTATCCAGATTGACACGGCATAGTTCACCTAACCTAGCAGAAAACTCATTCATCCAAATCTCTCAAACAGATTATTAGAAAGGTCTTCCGAGCATTTAAAGCATACTAACCGGTTTCAAAGAATTTGGATCTTCGAACACAGGAGGAGCTTCAAGATGACTGCAAATCGAGAATTCATACGACAGAGAGAAAGCTAAACAAAAATTGAATGCAAAATTAGGGTTTATAGAAAGCGCACGCGTGATTGAATCTTCTTCTGAATGTTTCGAAAACGATCGCGGCTGCTAATCCAAATGCAACAAATAATGCTAAGACGAGCAGCAGCTCGAAGGCTTTCCAGATTGCTTCCATGTTTTTTGGCGTTGAGAATTAAGTGGATCGCCTAACTGAACGATCATAACCAGGAGGTTTAGCAGTTGCGCTACGCCGCTACCACTCTAAAAGGTCGTTAATGAATTCAAATGGTCTACAAATTTCATTGGCAAATAAACACAAAGCCCGTCTAGCTCAGTTGGTAGAGCGCAAGGCTCTTAACCTTGTGGTCGTGGGTTCGAGCCCCACGGTGGGCGTAGATTTTAGCCTGGGCCCATCTCCGAAAGAAGGCTTTGTTAAACTAACTTTTAATTGGGCCACGCAACTTTATAGATTACAGTCTAAAAATAAATTCGTTTTGAATATTTGTTCACACGACCCGTTGCAATATGCATTTTTATAACTCATAGTGTATATCATTCTAACTTATAAAGTATATTAGCTTACCACATAAGTTTTATTATTCTAACACATAAAGTATATTACTCTTACACGACGTCGTTTTGAGACTGTGATCCACATAGTTATGTGGACCGTAATTTGGCAAACACCTTATATTAAATCTTGAAATGTTATTTTCTTGGGTCAGGATTTGTCTTTACTAGGTCGGTTTTATTTGTTTTGAACTATGATCCACACAGCTGTGTGGACTATAATTTGCCAAACACCTTATAATAAATCTTAAAATGTTATTTTCTTGGGTCGGATTTGTCTAAGTCGGTTTTATTAAAATAACTTTTTGAATGAAAGAAATATTTAAAAAAACTATATATAACGGGTTTGAGTCAAAGAAATATTGACAAAAATTACTTTTGTAACATTTAAGTATAAGAATCATACTTCATTTTTAGCATAAAACTTTTGATTGTGTTGTATTTTCTACTTATGTGTTTAATATAATTTCTTTTTACCAAAAAAATTATACTCGACTATTATTTCTCTGTCTACTTGCTCGATTACTCAATTAGAGAATACATACAGTATTTATTGTGTGCTCTTAACTGTTGCTTCTAGATATTTCCAAGTGGGGAATGGGGTGCCTAGTGCTATTTCCAAGTTGGCGGCATTAATATGACTAGCCAGCAATTTTAATATAATTAATAATTAATTATCAAAAGAAGAAAAAAAGTCATCACATATGACTTTCATTTCTAAATAAATGAATATATAATCTTTTTTTATTAAAGGAAAATAATAATTTAGTATTGAGGAATAAGGGAGCTTAGAAAGCTCGAAAGAACATCCGTCCAAACAGTGTCATACATTATGTGCCTTAGTAAGGGAGTGAACTACCTAATTAAACACCGTTAATGTGTAATATTTCACAAATTACGTTGGAGAGTTAAACCACACTAAAAATACCTAATGTAACGAGCTCAACTAAGAGAATTTCGACAAGAATTGAACTCGTGATTGATATAAAAATTATGTTATACCCATTCGACTACTCATTTTCGGCACGATATTTTGACATTTGTTTTTGAGCTTTGGTAGGTGGAGACTTGAATTTAATCAAGGATACGTTGCCAATCCGACTGTTTAAAGTAAATGAAGAACGACCTTTCCCATGTCAACTTTCTCCATAACATTCTGGGTTGAAATGTGGGATTAGATGCCAAACAAGCTACGGTAATATAGGTGACCAAAGATGAAGTAGGAAAAATTGTTTTGGAACCAATACTTTCTCTTGACCGGATACTTTTTCAAACATTTTCAGTTCAAAGAATCTAAACTCTCACTATCGAAGTTCGGACCTATGACCACTCATTTGAAATGATAATCGGGATATCATCATAGTATATGATAGTTGACAGAGGTAGATATATCACTTAATTACAATGTTTGACATCAATTTACTAATTTATATATTGAAACTTTTTTTTTTTTTTTTTTTTTGAAACTCATTACTTTGTCATTATAAACAAAATTTCTAACTTTTTTTTTGAACAAAACAAAATTTCTAACTTAAAAGTAAGTAATCTCACATTTAAAAAAAAATTACAATATCAATCAATACCGATGTCTGTTACTTATACTTACAGTACCCAAATATAACTAGACATATCATGTATGATTGTACTTGTTAACAAAAGATACTTAATTGACACTTAATGAAAATTCTATATTTACTTTTGGCATGAGAAAAATAAAATTAAAAAAATTCAAATTTAGCTACACCACTAATTCTTTGGTTCAAAATCATTATAATCAAGATAAAGTTGTTTAAAAGTAAGCAGCTTTCCCTTTCCAATTTGGTACAATGCATTAATAGAACCATAAGCAATCATTTTCTTTACCATGAGTAGATTATTAGGTGTGATCCCCCAAACTATGATGCAAATTTCCATTTCAAAAATTTTAAATGATCGATTAAGTCCATGAAGCATGATTCTTATATCGAAATATCACGAGTTTAATTTTTAATTGATAATATTTTCTCAGTCGAGTCAGTTACACAAAGTCTTCATAATACGTTTTATCTCCCTTGTGTAATTTACAGACTATTACATAAAAGTATGATTTATCTAATACACATATTGATATAACATTTGCGAGTTTATTTCCCTAATCAGCTAAACAATTCCACTCCAAAAAACCCCTTTTAGTAATCTAAAAGCAATTAATTGGTTGTGTTCTAGAGGTTGGTTTTGACTCTTGCTAAGTTGCTATCCATTGTAAGTTAAAAAGGTCATTGGTTCCCATTTGGTTTGGTTGCAATGAACCCCACCAGAATTAATGTTTGATGATGACAATTTGAAGCAAGTTGCATATATTATGTTTGCATGTCTCTCCATTGCTAAACATGCATTCAATTAAATAATAAATAATTTTGAAATAACTATCTAATGAGTTACTCACTTTTTGTACTTTGTACCATTAGGCTGTTAAATCAAAATCGTGTGTAATTAAATTATCAAACAAGTAAAAAAGTGTGCATTTTTCAGTTTCCATATGTTACTATCAAGTTCAAAGTAAAAATTGATTACTTCATTGTTTAGATAAAAATTTATATGCCAATGGTCTTGTAATCTAATAACACAAAGTGATTTTTGGTTTCAAATTTTAGTGGGAGCAGTATTCTACATTCTAAGAGAGTCAGTAGTACTCAGAAAAAAAGAAGCAACCACCGTGGTGAGGCATGTGAACAAGAAAATGAGAGGAAAGAGAAGGGCCAAATGCCGATGCGCACAAGAAATCTGTCCACTTTGAACATAATTCCCACACTACCGTCGCCGATATTCAAACCTTAGTCTCTTCTCCCAAATACTGTTCACTGAACCATTGAGCTAAGCTCATGCGAGAGTGTAACCATTATCTAATTGTATGAGAGGAAGAGCATATTGAACACATGAACTCAGAACCACTTTCTTATTATGTAATCTTTGATATATATATATATATATATATATATATATATATATATTAAGGAAAAACAGTAAAAATCACAAAAGAGGGAACCCAAGATAATAGCCACCAAACAGTTATATTTACAAGAAACACTAGATTGTACACAAAATTTGTGTACATAAAAAAACCTAATTAATTCCAAATTTTAAATGTTAGCAAAGCTTTTAACCGTGGGTTTAATGGAGAGTGGAGAGGCGTGTGAACAAGAAAATGAGGGTGGCAGAAGAAGACCAGACTGATTAAACGAGGACAAGTCAAACAAACGTTTTAGGGCTTTGGCCGTTGGTGAGGTTCTGGAAGAGGAGAGGTTCTCGTGAAAGACAAACCAAACAAATGACAAATATTCAAAATGTTCACATCTTTGTGTTCTGATCTGGTTTGGTTGTTGTGGCTCGGTTTATTACACAATTATCTTAGAATCATTCAAGAACCACTGCTATTTTCCAAGGGTTTAAGAAGCCAAAGAAAGCTCTTTTCTTGGAGGAAAGACCGAAAGAGAAGCAGAGAGAGAGAGAGAAAGATTGATCAAATTCATGGGTTCTTGTTTCAGTGTCAGAATTAAGGCAGAGAGCCCTCTCCATACTGGTAATTTCTCCCTTATTTTAACATTCTATCTTTATTCTTGTGGAATCTTTCAGTAAAGCTGCTTTTTACCCATTGATCATCCTCTTTGAAGTATAATAATAGCTCCTTATAATAAGCCACCATTTGCATAGTTGTATATACAGTTTTGTGTTCATTCCCTGAAGAAGTGATTTGGGTTTAAGCTGGTTTGATGAAAAACCTTTTTTTTTTTTTTTTTTAAATGAAAATAAAAATTCACTAAATTGTTTTTGGGGAAACATATGGTATTTTTATGTCAGATAATGTTAGAGATATGGTCAATGTAATGCTCTGCAATCATATTTGGCACTGAAATTTTTGAACAGGAAATTGCACCTGGAAAACAGCTAATTTCCTTAATTTTGATCTCAAATTCTCAACCATGATCATTGAACCTCAAAATATGTTTGATTTCTAGTCTGATCTTTGCCCTACTGAGGAAATATTTTACTCGAAATGTATATGTTTAAGTGTTTTGGTATGTGTACAGGAGCTAAAGAGTTGAGCAAAAGACTTTCGTTTGCCTCGGCCCCAATGACCCCTAGGAAAGAGAGTGATATTCTGGACTCATCGAATCTTAAGAACTTTACTTTCAATGAACTCAAAATAGCCACCAGAAACTTCCGGCCCGATAGTGTGTTGGGGGAAGGAGGTTTCGGTTGTGTCTTCAAGGGATGGATTGACGAGAATACGTTCAAGGCAGCCAGGCCCGGGACTGGATTGATAATAGCCGTGAAGAGACTGAATCAAGAAGGCCTTCAAGGTCACAAGGAATGGCTGGTGAGTGCCCGACCAAAAGAACGTGAAATCAATCTGATAATCTTGAATCTCGTGTTTAGCTTTGTGGCGTTCCAAACCGCTGCCAAGGCACGAGATCGATCCGGTTATCTGTTTTGATCTTCTTTTCGTGTGTTGAACAGACAGAGATTACTTACCTCGGGCAGCTATCCCATCCCAATCTCGTGAAGTTGATAGGTTACTGCTTAGAGGATGACCACCGAATTCTGGTGTATGAGTTCATGCCTCGGGGAAGTTTGGAGAATCATCTGTTCAGAAGTGAGTTTCGGGAATTCCAACTATTTTTTAATTTTCGTATAGAACTAAGAACTCCGTTATTCATCTAATCAGTGTATCTGGAACAGGGAGTTCTTACTTTCAACCGCTATCTTGGAATCTTAGAATGAAGGTTGCTCTTGGCGCAGCCAAGGGACTTGCATATCTTCACGGCCCCGAGGCAAAAGTTATATATCGTGATTTCAAATCGTCTAACGTTTTGATCGACTCTGTATGTAAAACTCTTTAATTTTTACCATTGAATTTCAATCGTATCGTCCTTAAGGCGCTACACTTTTAGACAGGTTCTATTACTGACCGACTCTCTACCATGAATTGCCAGAACTACAACGCAAAACTTTCTGATTTTGGATTGGCTAAGGATGGGCCTATCGAAGGAGAAAGTCACGTCTCTACGAGAATTATGGGTACATATGGCTATGCAGCTCCCGAGTATATGGCCACAGGTAATTAATTCGTCTCCCATTTGTTTAACTATCCCGTGATAGAGGTGGCCACAGGTCGTGGTAGCCTTGAACTGGCCCTATAAAGGCCTCGGGATCACGATTGGGCCAGTCCCGGTTGGCTCAGGCTCGAGAAATGGCCACCTCTAGATATAACATTAGACATTATCACTTGTTGTTGAACATATAGCCATTAATGTGCAATCCAACTATCAGCTTAGGCTTTTAGTTGTGATGGAGCACATGCTTCAATTTGGTATCAGAGCCATGTCAAAGGTCATGGGTTCTAATCTCGGTCCACGTGTTGCTTGGAACCCAGCCATTAATGTGCAATCCAACTATCAGCTTAGGCTTTTAGTTAGTTGTGATGGAGCACATGCTTCAATTCTTGTTAGGCCAAAGTAATTAATCCAATTATATACTGTCATATGCCTGTTTCTATAGGTCACTTGACTCCAAGTAGCGATGTGTATAGTTTCGGGGTCGTGCTTCTAGAAATGCTGACGGGCCGTCGAGTAGTGGACACAAACCGACCCAATGGGGAACAAAACCTCATTGACTGGGCTAAGCCTTACCTCGCCAGCAACCGCAAAATCCTCCGAGTCATGGATCCTCGTATCCAAGGGCAGTACTCGTTGAGTGGAGCGCTCCGAGTAGCACTCCTCGCAGTGAAATGCATAACGCCCGACCCCAAATCAAGGCCTGACATGAACGAGGTGGTAGCGGAGCTTGAAAAGCTTCAAGACTCGAATGGCAGCAGCACAGCGAGTCCCAAACAGGAAGCGATCAAGAACCATCAGAGATCCCGCGCCATTGAAGAAGCTTCAAGGAATGGCAGCACAGAGAGTCTCAAACAGGAAGTGATCGAGAATCACCAGAGATCCCGCGCCATTGAAGAAGCTTCGAGTAGAAACAAGGAAGACTCGAATGGCAGCATAGAGAATCTCAAACAGGAAGCGATCGAGAACCCTCAGAGATCCTGCGCCATTGAAGAAGCTTCAAGAGGAAACAATGCTGCTTGTGCAACAACCTCTGCTTCTGCCATTGTTGCATGAACACTGAGAATCAACACATCTTATTATACTGTATACATTAGCTTATAGAGAAGAACATGCCCACAGTTTATCATTTCAGGATCTTGGACCTGTATTAGACTAATCTACCGTTAGTTTTGTACAGTTCTTTGCTGTATTTTGTGCACACCAAAAAAAAAAAGTAAAAAAGAGTTCGATGTTTTCTTCAAACACTAACATTAAATAGGCTCTGTATCATTTCAAATTTTCAATTGAGGTAAATTCCACAGTATTGTGATTGTAGGACTTTAAAGGCCTTTGATTCTTGGATAAACACATATATGGTATGCGTTTTATAATTGAACCAAGCCCATGAAAAGGTAAATTGAAACTCATTATCAAACAAACTGTACACTTTTGTGCACAAGGACTCTCGTGTTTGTGATTGGAATCGAACTTTCCATTACGCTTCTCATCTACTAGACTCTTCTGTGCACAAGGATTCCAATGTTCATGACAAGAATCGAAACCTCCACTAAATTTCTCATCTACAAGACCAATCAATACATGGATCAAATTTATATATATTTCTACAATTTTCAAGGAAAAATTCCGTCACGACATGATAATGGAGGTAAAATTCGTGATTATAGTTGTTAAAGCTTAATTACGTATCTTTACTCCCAATATGTCATTCAGGAACTAATTGATCTACCCATGCTGGTGCGGGCAAGTTAAAGATTTGTTTATAAAGCAAACATGTGATTTTCTTTCTTTAAGATTGTTCAAAAACGACGTCGTACAGTGTCCCCCAAAATCTCAGCATCCGCTTCAGTTCGGTTTAGGGTTTTAGGATAAACAACGACAGGATAGAGGATCCATAACAATTAACAATGTCTGGAAGAAGGTTCCTCTCGTTCTTGAAGCGCAGTCCGTAAGAAAATTATCATTTTATTGAATTAATGGTTCTTTAATTTTTGTTTCCAATTTCGTTGGATGTTTTTAAAATTCTTAATTTTATAGTTCGACAACGAGCGAGGTAGAGGAAAGCGGCGCAAAAACGTGGGGGCGGAGGATAGTATCGGGAACATTGATCTGCGTAACAGGAGGTTTTGCTCTTAGCGCCCTCGATGATCTCTCTATATATCACAGCTGTAGCAGGTAAAAGATTCTTTGTTTTTTTTCCTTGTTTATGTGAGCCTTGAAGCTGTTTGTTTAAATGTTCATCTTTTATGAAGAAAAACCTTATGATCCTCACATTATGAACATATGACAGATTGAGCTGTTTGTTTAACTATTCACCTTTTATGCTGATTTGATGAAAGAAAAATAAAAAACTCTTATGATCCTCATATTATGAACATATGACAGGATGAAAGATAAGATGAAGGTTTCTGAATTCTTGAATATTAGTAAACCAGAAGCCTCTAGGAAATATGAATGTCCTGCAGCTTTGTTTTGTTTTCAGTGAGGTTTGTGTTGATTTGGGTTTCTGTGTTGTGTTTGTCTTTCAGCAAGGCCTTAGAGAAAGCCAGTAAGAACAAGGCCATAATAGAAGCTATAGGAGAGCCCATCGTTAGAGGACCTTGGTATAATGCGTCGCTAGGACTAGCTCACCAAAGGCAGTCTGTATCGTGCACGTTTCCTGTATCAGGACCTCAGGGCTCTGGGATCTTTCAGCTGAAGGCAGTTCGTAATGGAAGTGAGTTCTGATTCTATATATATTGTTTCTTTCTTTCCAAATTGATTTCATTTCTCCATGTGATGTTGGCTTGTTGCCTATAACCTTTGTCCCCTTGAGCTTAGTCTGTTTAGATGTTTGGTATAACTATTTAGCCATCAACTAAGGGGAAATCCAATATAAACATAGACACACACTAATGAGTGAGTAGTAAGGACCGAGGAATATCAAATTTATGGTCGAGCAAAGTGGTAAATGCTTAAATTAGACTCGTATTGTTTGGTATTCCAAGATTAATACATACATGAAATTACCAACAATGCTATGAAAGTTGAAATTGAAATTCGAACCATACAAGGAATGAGTATTAAACTTGAGACCTTTTACATAAAGTCTCGTGACCATAAGGTCCTTGGCAGGATTGCCAGGATTCTAAGATCAACTGTTACTTCCAGTCAATGCAGTACACAGTACACTTGAGTAACAAGATTACTATCATTGCAGTGTTGAAACTAAGAAAAACCGAGATGTCTTTTTGGTCAAGTCCACATTTGTTGTCCTTTCTGCGTATTGGTTCTGCATTTTCTTGCTTCTTTATGCGCTTTCATGTGAGCCATTGTTTTGATGTGGAACAGACGATACATGGATGTCATTCTTACGGCCCCGTGACTGGGAAATCCTCATCATGGAAGCTCTCGTCCACGTCCCTGGAAACGAGGAGAAGCAGCAAACTTTTCGAATCACTGTTTCGGACGACTTGCCCCCTCCAACAGCTTGTGTGTCATGCCCTGATCTTATGTCTCAAAAATCAGATAGTGTGGAGAATAACTGAAACTCTCTATCCCTCTTGGATTTGCCATTCTGATTCTTTCAGATAATACTAGAGAATAATGCAGAGTATAAAGTTTGTATTTCTAGAGTGGTTTTTGAATTTTTATGAAGGCAACTTCAACAGATTTATGAACAACATTAATTTTGTTGAGTAAGATCATACAGAAGATGTAAATCACGCTAGGAAAATCCTGTGCACGGGTTTGACTGAGTGGATGTTGACAATAATTGAATTTGTGTCATTCTGATATGAAAATTATACTTTACTGATTCACTCACCCAATCGTCTCTTTCGGGTTTTTTTTACGTGTGTGTGTGTGTATATATATATATATATATATATATATATATATATATATATATATAACTTGGCATAATAAACAAGCTGTGGCTCCATAATGCTGCACTTTCTTCAAGCACTCAAATATATTACAATCATTAGTCGAAAAGTTCAGACAAGCCTCCTAAATTTTCTCCTATTCTAATTTCCCACTAAAAAGCTCTCAATTTTCACACTTACCATCCCTCACTTTTGCATTGAGGGGCTCGAAAATCTAGAAAAAAAAAAAAAAAGAGATTAGAATTAAAAGCAATGCGATGAAAAGGGCACTGGTCAAGTTCTTCCTTTTTCCTCTTTTTGATATAATAAATTTTTGGGGATTAAAATTAAATTTTAAAATTTTTGCCAACAAAAGTTTGACCAAACTGCCAATTAGAAGGAGCGATGTTCCACGAAGTGGAAGTGCGATGGTCGCTGCTTTTGACTCTGAAAGAGAGCGGTTGTCCCACAAGCATTGCATTGGTTTGCCAATTTTGCCCCCAGTTACGGCTCAACGGCATCCAGTTAGTCCTTGATCCTTTTATCCACACCTTAACAACATCTCCTGCTCCCGCCACGTTAGTCACCAACACCAAGTTGAAGAAACGGTGGCCGTTGATCGTGAACCTGATCCCTCCAGGTTTACGGCAAGGCACGCTGGACAAAATCGTAAATTTAATCAAGGGTAATATTGACAACAAACAAATACCAAAATGAAAGAGGATAAAACAACAACAAAAGCCAAGCATATAGTGTACAACAACGATAGATTAGGTGACGAGTTAATATTGGATACGTAAAATCTTGTACGTAGAGATTTGGGACCCACTTTAGTGATAAAATGTCAAAAAAGATCAGACAGCGGAAATTACATGCACATGGGAGTGTGAAAAAAGTCTATGATTCTTCTTTAATGGCTACGAACGGCTCAGATTGAAGGTACAAGTGGAGAGATGCAGTGGATCAATCTTAGATCAGGCAGAGTTCACAAGACTGAATTGTACAACGTTGCTACTGCTAGGATTAATGGAAGTCAAAGAGTACAATCATTTTGTGCGTTACAACTGGACATACTTAATCCACATATAACTTCCTAAGCTCTTTAATATTTTTTTCATAACCTATATTCTCTAATTTCACGGACTATATTATAATAATCCACCATCAGAATTACGAGAAAATAAATTGAACAAATTTAAACTCAAACATTCAATATCAAGACATACACTTTTGAGCAAAAAAAACACAACCCAAAGTTCCAAAACCTACCAAAAAACAGATTTTAATTGTACACTAGACAGATGTCTGAGAAACACTATTTAATATTTTAACTGAGTTATAGTGTAATGCTACTCATGCTTACATTAAAAAAAAATATTTCAATTAATTATTTATCAAATAAACATTTTTCATATATATAAATATCACAATTTTTGGTGTGTGACAATTTGAAGCATGTAATACTTTTTTATATTAAGCATGTAATACATTTTTATTAAAAAAAATATTATATATTTCATGAGGACTAGAATGGAGAATATGTCCAGTCCCATTGTCATTTCTAATAGGAAAAAAGAAAAGGAAAAAAAAAAAAAAAAAAGTGAATGGTGGGCTGACCGGCGATAAGTGACGGGGACAATGCCGGCGCGGTATTCGGCGATCTTGAGGAACATGGGCATGGAGAGGTCGAAGTGGGGGCGGGGAGGGTTGCACCAGCCGCCATGGTCGTTGGGCAAGGCGTAGTTGGGGGGGCAGAAATTGGTGGCGGTGATGAGAATGGACGGCCGCCCAGGGTGGCACGACCGTGGCTCGTCGTCGCACTTGATCTCGAAGCAAGCTCCGCAGCTGAACCCATTGTTAAACAGCGCCGTGCTTAGCGCCGCCGTGTTCACCCCGTACCCTTGGCTGTACAGATTCCCATACCCACAAGCACCACCTATTTCAATCCAAACAACAACAATAATAAAAACCCATAATTAATTTCCTTAAATCCCCACAACATATCATTCCTACGTTAAAACTAAGTAAAATGTAGTAGCAACACCCGCCAAGTTGGTCAGATTGTTAACTTTATATTTGAGTCAATAACTGATTAGGGTCACGAGACAGAATTTACTTAATGCATATTCTTGATTAATGGTTGCGAGTTTTGATTGTTACTCAAAAAGGAAAAAAGAAAGTAAAATGTGGGTGCAGTACCCATAGTGCCGGAGGCGTCGCTGCCGCCGTAGAACGTAGCATGGGCGGTTTGCCAGGCGGCGCCCCGATAAACGCCGGGGATTCTGGCTTCGACGGCGAGAATGGAAGCAGCGAGCAAGAAGAGAGCAAGAGTAATTGTGCGATTGAAACCCATAACAGCCATGATGAAGAAGCTGGGGAGAGTGTGAAAAGTCTTTTTGTTTATTTGGCTAAGTGAGTTGAAAGGGGAAGAAGGTGAATGAGTGAGTACTTATTATTGAGGTTTGGGGGGAAAATAAAGGAAAAAGGAGAAAATGAGAAATCATTAGACATGCTCCTGGTCTGGTCAGCCAGTATACAGCGTTGTGCGACTAGTCAATGTTTTCTGCGTGGACCAAATTACCCTGGGTTTATCCATTTCATTTATGTATTATTTTTTTTTTATAAATACAATGGAAATGGTATTTTAAAAAAATACTACAAAATTTTAAGAAGAATAAATACCCAAAATGGTCCCTCGACTATAGCTAAATTCACAAATTGGCCATCGACTTTTAATTTTAACCAATTAAGTCCTTAACTTTGCAATTTTGGCACAATTTGGTCCTCTGTCTATTTGACCGTTTGTTGACTGTGATTTTTGAGGATATATATATGTAATTTCATGGTCCATCGTCGGGTTTTTAAGGTTCAGGTTGCATTTCCAGACCGCACTGTTACATTTTAATCCACTGCCGAAAGCAATCTACCAACCCCGGTCGCCTTTTTTTTATCCTCTCTTTATATTCAATGTAGTTGAGTTCGTACCATAGCGAAGAAGACGACGTGTTTCCGAACCGGTGCAAAGTCATCCTGGAGGCCTCCACGTGCTCCGACAAGAGCTGAAGGTTCTTCTGGAGATCGTCGATCACGGTCAACAAATGGTCAAATAGATGTAGGACCAAACCGTGTCAAAATTGCAAAGTTAAGGACTTAATTGGTTGAAATTGAAAGTCAAGGACCAATTTGTAAATTTAGCTATAGTCGAGGGACCATTTTAGGTATTTACTCTTTTAAGAAAGGTGGCAGTATGGCACCAATTACATCTACAAAGTGATGGTGATAAATAACTTTTGGAGTGTTTTAAATATTTGTAATTAAAATTAGCTTGAGATGAAAGATGAAATTATTCAATTTGTGATGCATTACTTATTTTACGAATATGTTTGATATAATACTCCCATGAGGCATGAGCATTGTCAATGCCTCGACAAGGTGAAAATGAGGGTCTCGATCTATCCTAGAATTAACACCCAAAGCAACCTTTACGTGGTCACCAACAAATCATTTTATATTATAATTCTTTAAAAATCATCCTCCCACAACTCAAGTTCAACTCATAAAAAACAGTTATTAAGAGTTGCCCAAGCTAGAGTTTTGGGCCTTGGGCTCCATAGAGTGGAGATTGAACTCTCCAAATTAGCGAAAGTGTGAAGTTGGATCCCAAGTGCGTAGCATTAACGATAGGGACATCCGGAGAGACTATTTGAGTGACTCACAAACTTCATTCAACAACTTTTGGACATGAGAATTTAGAAACTAAGTACCTAACGTTAAAGTTAAAAAAAAAAAAAACCTAAGAGTTTCACAACAAGGTTATTTGCCCCCAACACCATATAACTAACGCCAAACAACCACTCCCCACGAGAATTATGGACCACTCCTATAACAAACACATCTCCTAAATAATCTTTGTCACTACCATCAACATTATCCATGAGCATCCTCATTAGTATAATTTTTTTCACAAATTTTTAGGTGTCAAGTAGGAGAAAAAGAGGAAGGAAAAAATAATTGTCAAAAAAAAAGTTTTTAAAAAATGATAGTTAATGCGCCCAACACAGTTGGGTGCTTTGGTGAACCTCACACACACTATGAGCTGTTTATATATATATATATATATATATATATATATATATATATATATATATATATATATATAAATTTTTGATGGGATCCACTGTGAAAAAAAAAAATAGTTCCTCTTGCAAAGATTTCAAACATTCTCTCCTTTCCACCTCATATTTGATCCACAAAAAAATCACCCAAAATTCATCTAATGGGATGCTCTTGACAACTTGTTTCATTGGTCTTATCCAACCAATCAAACATACATGCAAAGTCTTGTACTAATTACAAAAATTGTACGAACAAATTTATTTGTGTGTGTATATACATAAATTAAGTTCACAATAAATAATTTACACGATTGAAAAAGGAGACAAATTCCATTTGAAAGATCACAACTCACAACTTTGCTTGAAATGGAAGTTGTGAAATTCAAGAATATATGTCACTCTTTACACATTTTTACTCACATATACTTTTTCTTTAAAAAAAAAAAACCAAAATTTTCCGGCTTCGTCAGATTAGCCTATGAAGAGGAACATCAAGCCTACCGAATGTTATAACCCACCCCCAACTGTACACTTCTACACCAGAGTATATTCGATCTCCATAAACCGGCCTTGCATCTTGGGAACCATACATACCCTTCTACTGAAAGTAATCCTAACGCATAATACCTCAATCACTTGAACACTTTATGCATTATATTTAGAGAGAAATTACCCGGCGATTAGGGGGTGCTTAATCATTGATGATATTACCGCAAGGTTCTTTTTTTTTTTTTTTTTTTTTTGGAACAAAACAACGGGAAGTTTCATTTAAAACAATTCTTGCCACCGACATTGATAGGGTGTGTGGTAGGATGA